CGGTTTACACTTTGCGTTGACATGTTTACAGTTTTTTAGTATCTCACACTGTGCTGCCTGCCTATGTTGTGAACTCAGATGTTCACCTTTTCTTTCGGCTTTACACGCATAAATCACTACAACTCGTTCTAAAAATAGATGTTCAATGGTTGTTGCTGCTGCTGGTTTGTTTTGGACCTTAAACCCTCAACCCTAAACCCTATACCCTGTTCTTGGGAAAATGGTTCTCAATACTGGTGGTGCCTTTGTTTCGGATTTGCACGCACATGTTCAGGCACCTTAGGTCTGATGCGTGCATTTGCCACTTTTTTGTGTTCGTTCATGATTTGGGTTTAGGGTTTAGGGTTTAGGGTGTAGGGTTTAGGTTTTAGGGTTTAAGCTTTAGGCTTTAGGCTTGAGGGTTTAGGCTTTAGGCTTTAGGCTTTAGGCTTTAGGCTTTAGGCGTTAGGCGTTAGGCGTTAGGCTTTAGGCTTTAGGCTTTAGGCTTTAGGCTTTAGGCTTTAGGCTTTAGGCTTTAGGCTTTAGGCTTTAGGCTTTAGGCTTTAGGCTTTAGGCTTTAGGCTTTAGGCTTTTGGCTTTTGGCTTTAGGCTTTAGGCTTTAGGCTTTAGGCTTTAGGCTTTAGGCTTTAGGCTTTAGGCTTTAGGCTTTAGGCTTTAAGCTTCAGGCTTTAGGCTTTAGGCTTTAGGCTTTAGGCTTTAGGCTTTAGGTTTTAGGCTTTAGGCTTTAGGCTTTAGGCTTTAGGCTTTAGGCTTTAGGCTTTAGGCTTTAGGCTTTAGGCTTTAGGCTTTAGGCTTTAGGCTTTAGGCTTTAGGCTTTAGGCTTTAGGCTTTGGGCTTTGGGCTTTGGGCTTTAGGCTCTAAGCTTCAGGCTTTAGGCTTTAGGCTTTAGGGTTTAGGGTTTAGGGTGCCACCCGAAACTGACGACTGCTGCCCGAGAGGCCGTGGAAAGACAGGAGGGACACAGTTTGGCAGAAGGGCGTGCCCCACCAGTGGCTGACGAACCACCTCGAAATGCACAGCTCTACTTCAACCCCTCGGGGGTTTGGGGTTTCAGGGTTCTAGGGTTTTGGGTTTAAGGTTGAACATTAAACCCTAAAAACCTAAACTCCTAAAACCCTAAACTTGCGCTTTGGGCTTTAGAGCTTAGAACGTTTAGGCTTCGATCTATGCAGTGCCAGTTCGCTCCCTGCTGGTGGCACCGTTCAACAATAACTGCTTATCAGCTTATCTAGCAGAAGGGTCTGCTACTCGCCTGATGGCATCACGACCTTCCGTCGTCGAAAGGTCGGAACCCGGGGTGTCGAAAGCTTGCGAATCAGGATCAGGTGGTGGAATCTCTCGAGAGGAAGAGGACGCCGTGATTGTAACTTTTTTGTACCAAATATGCAGAAATCAGAAAAAGCAGCAGTGAATGAATCTTGCGTTCGACAGCCAACGCCACATCCCACCCATCTGACCCCCGAAAATCCCCGAACTCCAAAGCCCAGAATCAAACCTCCTCAAAAAAGCCCTCAAGAAATCCCAAGCGCCCCAAACCTTCAAAAACAACACCAAATCCTAAGCCCCAGGGGTTCCCGAAACCCTAAACCCGAAACCCTAAACCCTAAAACCTAAACCCTAAACCCCCCACAAGGCCTCGGGAGCTGCGGGCCTTCTGCGACCAGCTCCACGAACGAGCAGCGGAAGCGGAGGGTGAAGGGAAGCACCTTAAGGGTTTCGGGGTCTGGGGTTTAGGGTTTAGGGTTTAGGGTTTAAGGGTTTAGGGTTTAAGGGTTTAGGGTCCGCCGACCCTGGCGGCGTGTTGGATAGGTTTCTGGAGGTGAAAACCTCCCTTACCCCCCCAAAACGCGGGGGGGGGGAGGGGGTACCCCGGCAGCTTTTCCGTGCAGGGCCAGGCCACCCACACCGCGTAAACTCATGGACAGGCTTTTTTGGAAAAAACCAAACACCCTTTTTCCCACCCACCCCTACCCCCCCCCCCTACCCCCCCTACCCCCCCCCTACCCCCCCCCCCCCCCCCCCCCCCCCTACCCCCCCCCCCCAACCCCCCCCCCACCACCCCACCCTCCCCCCACCCCACCTTTCTTCAAAAATCGTAATCAGGCATGAAAGAGGGCCATCCACACCTGCCACCCCCCCCCGCCCAAACACGGGTGCTGGGTCTGAAACTGCTTCAGCTCCTAAACTGTTTGGGTCCTGGTGCTACCCCCTACCCGCCCCTCCCTCCCCCCACGTTTCACAGAGGAGCGAGCGTTTCACAACTTTTTGGGATTCTGCCGAGCAGGCTGCGATGCTCTTCGAACCATGCGATGAGGAAAGCATCCTTTGAGCCGACGAGCGGGTTTAGACCTTTCAACTATGCTTTGGCGGGGTCGGCGGCTTGAGCCGGAGGCTCTTAAATCCGGGCACGCCCGTGGTCCGACGCCGTTAGGCGCCAGCCCTAGCTTTAGCTACCCCGGGGGGGGGGGGCATATGCCGCCAACCGGGTCGGGGCTCCCCAACATCCGGCTCCAAATGCGGCTTCCGAAGGGCATCATGTTTCAGGTACATTTTTTATCGCGAAAAACGCGCTATTCCCCACCGAATTTGGGCTCCTGGACGCATTTTTTGGGCGCCCCATGGGGGGTCCCAAAAACGACCCCGGAGAGCATCATTGAATTGGTTTTTCAACTTTTGCCAAATACGCGTTGTTGATGTTTTTTGGGTGGCATCGGCCACCCCAAAGGACCCCCACAAGAGCGCGCATCATGAGCATCAGCGGGCTGGGTCTCGGGTTTCGGATGCGGCTGAGAGCTTGGAAAACACAGAAATCGCTGTAAATACCGTGGTTTTCGTGCTGTTACGGACATTTCCGTTTTGAGGCCGGCATATGCCCCTATAAGCCATGCATGCCTGGAGGCCGGAGCCGCTGATGCTCATGATGCGCGGCCGGGCGGGGGGCCAGGGTGCGCATCATCGAGGCTTCGTTTCTCTTTGGGGATCCGGGGGGCGAGCATCAGCAGCATCAGCGGCTCCGGAAAGGGTTTCGGGCGGCAGGATTTCGAAGGATGCTGGCATAACTCCATAACATGGCACTCGACATGCGCACGCACGCGCGCGCGGGGGCGGAAAACGCACCAGTGCGAGCGCGCGCGCTTTCCGTTGTTTGTTTGTTTGTTTGTTTGTTTGTTTGTTTGTTTGTTTGTTTGTTTGTTTGTTTGTTTGTTTGTTTGTTTGTTTGTTTGTTTGTTTGTTTGTTGTTGTTGTTGTTGTTGTTGTTGTTGTTGTTGCCCGTGGTCCGACGCCGTTAGGCGCCAGCCTTAGCTTTAGCTACCCCGGGGGGGGGGGCATGAACCCCCGTGACAATTCGAGGTCAAAAACCTAAACCCTTGATCTGAGACCCTAAATCCCAAACCCTAAGACCCACCTAACCCTGCTTAAAGGCTAAGGGTTGAGAGTCTAGTGTTTAGGTTTGAAGTTTCTGCGGTCTCGGGGTCGGGCTTCAGGCTTTAGGGTTTAGGGTTTAGGATTTAGAGTTTAGGGTGTAAGGTTCCGGGTTTCTTCTACAGTGTGGCCGTGGATGCCTCCACGGTGCTTGTGAACACGAACACCTCCACGGTGTTTGCGAACGTGAAGACTGCAAATGCTGAACATGAACACCTCCACGGTGTTTGCGAACGTGAAAACTGTACATGCACACTTCCACAGTGTGGCCATGCACCTCCACGGTGTTTCTGAACATGAACACCTCCACGGTGTTTGCGAACGTGAAAACTGTACATGCACACTTCCACAGTGTGGCCATGCACCTCCACGGTGTTTCTGAACATGAAAACCTCCACGGTGTTTGAAAACTGTACATGCACACCTCCACAGTGTGGCCATGCACCTCCACGGTGTTTCTGAACATGAACACCTCCACGGTGTTTGCGAACATGAAGACGGTAGACGACGCTCCCAAAGTGTGGCCACGAACACCTCCACGGTGTTTGTATGAGGCTCCGGCCAATCAGGACTCCGAGACCCTTCATGTCTTCCCAGCCCTGTACTCGTGGGTGCTAGCTCCCAATATACGGTAAAACCCGCGGACCAGACGAGGCACCTAGTTCAGACCGCGCAGCTCTCGCGGGCGAGTTGGTGCTTTTTTGTCCTTCTTATTCTTATTCTTTTGATTGTTCCCTCTCTTTTTGTTCTTCTTCTTTTTCTTCTGAGTCTTCTCCTTCTGCTTGTGGTGGTTGTTGTTGTTGTTGTTGCTGCTGTGCTTGCTGCCGTTGTCCTGCTGCTGGTGGGCGTGCCCGGCTGTGGGCGACAGCCCGTTAGATTTAGGGTTTAGGGGTTTAGGGGTTTAGGGGTTTAGGGGTTTAGGGGTTAAGGGGTTTAGGGGTTAAGGGGTTTAGGGGTTTAGGGGGTTAATGGGTTTAAGGGGTTTAGGGGTTTAGGGGTTTAGGGGTTTAGGGGTTTAGGGGTTTAGGGAGGTTAGAGGTTTAAGGGTTTCGGGATTTAGGGGTTTAGGGGTCTAGTGGTTCAGAGGTTAGGGGTTTACGGGTTTAGGGATTTAGGGGTTTAGAGCCTGGGCTCAATCGGGTTTTGCATCCTCTGGGGTGTTGGAGTGATCAAGAAAACTTGTTGACCACCAAACCATATGACCTAAACCCTCCTAAACCCTTCAAAACCCTGAACACAGGGGGCGCGGCAACAAAATGTTGGTTTTTCATACCAGGGAGGCGTCACGCAGCTAGGCCGGGTTCTCAAGCAAGGCGGCATCATGTACAAAATTCGGGGTTTGCGGTTTACAGCTTGGGGGGCCTGGGGGTTTCAGGTGGTTCTAGGGTTTGGGGTTTAGGGTTTATTGTTTAGGGTTTACGGTTTAAGGGTTCGGGCTTTATAACGAACACACCTTTCGGCAAGCCGCAATGCAGTCGCTGATCACATAGAGATTCACCTCGGCGACTGGGCTTTAGGGGGGTGTAAGGGGGGCTATAAAAGGGCCATGAGGGGTGTGTAAGGGGGATACAAGGGGGCTATAAAGCGGGATTGGGGTTAGGGCTTGGGGTTTAGGGTTTAGGGCACGAGCCTCGGACGAAGTGAGAGTGCTTTGGGCATATTCGCCAAAGGCATCGACGCTTTCGACAGCGCGTGTTGTTTCACATCTCTGCGCAGTATGTTGCGAGCGCGCAGAGAAGCAAAAAAACGCTGTAAATACCAGTGATTTGGGCACAGTGACCCCCCGCACCCCACCCCCCACCACCCACCCCCGGCCTTGATGTCAAAGGACCACTGGAGACCATCAACACCAAACCTAGAATGCTCCACCCCTGTCTTGACCCCTACCCGGAAAATTAGAAACAAACTTGCGAGATCGTCCGAATAAGCTGCTTTCACGCTAGCCACTCGCCCGAGGTCCGCCTTGCCCCACGTTCGACATCATCGCGGCGTGACCGTCTGTATTCTGCAAGCGTGAAGCCTACCGTTTTTAGAAGTGAACTGAAATCTCTTTAAGGTTTTCACTCACCAATTCAGAAAACTCAACTAAACATGAAGAATAGTTTTACCCCAACTCAAAGCCCCAATCTGCAAGTATAAAAACGGTCCCCTGCTTAGGGCTTAGGGCTTAGGGCTTTGGGCTTTGGGCTTGGGGGGTGATTGACGAAACCAGTCTTTAGGATTTGGGTTTGGGCTCATTAACAAACAGTCCCCTCTTAGGGGTTTCGGCTTTTAGGTTTGGAGGGGGGGGGGGGGGGGGGGGGGGGGGATGAGGGCTTAGTAGCCCAATAACCATGTTACAATAAGGGCACCCTTTGTTTGGTTGGTTACTTTACAAGGGACCAGAGCCCAAAAAAAGGAAAAGGGTACCACTGGGCTACCAAGAGGGCCAAAGCGATCTCAACCAAAAGCGGCCCAGCGGCAGTTGTCCAGTCGACGGCCTTGCCACGCGAATCGCTCAGGTACTTGCCCGAGCTCACCTCTCATCATAGTGTAAACGCAAAACCTTAAACCCTAAACCCTAAGCCTTAAGCCCTAAACGCTAACCCCTCATAAATAAGTAATAAGCTGACTCTGTTTCTGCAGGAGCTCATGCATGTGCGGCCACGAAGAGGCCTTTGCGATCTCTCCGCATTGCCTGCAAGCCGGTGTCGATGCGAGAGCTCGCTTTGTTGCTGGTGCGGCGGTGGTCGTGGACTTTGTCGAACTTCATCAACAAGTAGTCTCAGCCCTTTCGTCAGAAGCGGTTCGGTGTGTTGCAGCAACTCTTTGACCTGCCGCGCTAAACCGCCTGTCAAGTCAAAGTGCAGGCCTATACCCCCGCCTCGAGAAGACCTGCGGCGTCAAAGCTCGTCCGAGACTGTACAAACCCCTACGGGATTTTGGGGCGTTTGGGGGAAGGTAGAAACTTTAGGGGAAGCTCAACGAGCACTGAGGCGTTTGGGGTTCCTAAACTCTAAAGCCCTTAGGCCACCCCCCCCCCTCTTAGGGGCCGCACCCGGCTAATCTACAGCTTCAGAGCCCAGTGGCTTGAGGGTGTTGGGATTCAAGTTTCCGGCTTAGGGGCTCAAAGGTTTCGAGCACCAAGACACCAATTTTGACACATCAACGTAAAGCCACCTAGCCTGAGTCCAACACCCCAAGAAGCCCTGAGCCCCAAAAAAGCTAAACCCCCAGGTTGAAGCAGCCTAATTTAGGGTTTAGGGTTTAGGGTTTAGGGTTTAGGGTTTAGGGTTTAGGGTTTAGGGTTTAGGGTTTAGGGTTTAGGGTTTAGGGTTTAGGGTTTACATAGAGACACAAAGACCCTGCATTCCCTACACTCCACACTCGACCCGCACACCTCAATCCGTAAACCCCTTCTTCCAAAAGCCCTAGCCCCTAAAAGCCTTGGACTCGAAAACCCTACAACCCTACTCCCAAAACTCCTAAACAATTAAAACCCTCAAACCAAAGCCCCTCCGACCCAGAAAAACCGACCGCCTAAAGATCGGAAACCCACGCTGGCAAGGCCTGTGAGGAAAAGCCTTGTCCGGCAAAGGGAAACCGGTTAGGCTTTAGGGTTTAGGCCTAGCCCTAAACCCTAAACTCGAACCCCAAACCCTAAACCCGAAACCCTAAACCCTGGACCCTCAACCCGAAAGGGCTGAAAGGATCAAGGGTTGATAACTTTTGAGGGCTTTGAGGCTTTGAGGGCTTAAAGGGCTCAAAGGGCTTAAAGGGCTTAAAGGGCTCAAAGGGCTTAAAGGGCTTAAAGGGCTTAACGGGCTTAAAGGGCTTAACGGGCTCACAAGGCTTAAAGAGTTCAAGTGCTTAAGGTACTAGCTAGGGCTCAGGATTCAGGAACTTATGGGTTCGGGGTTTAAATTTGGGCCTAATGCAAGGCTTTGGAGATTTGGGGTTTGGGGTTTAAGGTTTAGGGTTTAGGGTTTAGGGCTTTAGGGCTTTAGGGCTTTAGGGCTTTAGGGCTTTAGGGCTTTAGGGCTTTAGGGCTTTAGGGCTTTAGGGCTTCAGGGCTCAAGTTTCTGTTTGGTGGGGGGGTAGGCCCGGAAACCAAGCAAAAATGCGCTCAAACTACCGGCCCCCAAACTCCCGAAACCCCAAGCCCGAAGTTTCATGGCATCTAACACCGGAAGCACCCTCAACCCTAAACCCTCAACCCTAAACTCTTAAACCCTCAAGCCTCAACCCTAAACCCTAAACCCTCAACCCTCCCAAACCCTAAACCCTAAACCCTAAAGCCTAAACCCTAAACCCTAAACCCTCAACCCCAATTGCCTCCTGGACGTGCCCTGCCAGCTCCTGGGGGTCTGCTGGTACCCGGGAGTGCGTAAACCTCTTCATTAATAAGGAAGAGGCCTTACATGAGAATTTATGGATGTAGGGTTTAGGGTTTAGGGTTTGGGGTTTAGGGTTTAGGGTTGAGGGTTTAGGGTTTGGGGTTTGGGGTTTGGGTTTGGGGTTGAGGGTCTTGGGTCTTGGGTTTTGGGTTTTGGGTTTGGGGTTAATAAAGGGGGTATTGGGCACCTGGCGACCACAACAACTGAACCCTCAACAACCCCAAAGCTCTAAACCCTAATCCGATCTTTAAAAAAGCAAAACAGCAAGCAGAAACATTACTGCTTTTACACGCTCTTACTGGAAAGGCATATAAACAAGCCCTAATTCCCGTAAAAAAACATAATGATTCTAAAAAATAACAAATTAATGATAATCATCATCATCATCGTCATCATCCCAAACCCTAACCCCTAACCCCCACATCCTGCAGCTGCTTCAAGGTAATGGCGCGCTCTTCGGTGGCGGCAATCTCGGCGCCCCGCTCCAGGTAGGTGCGCGGGAAGCCTTACGGGCTCTAGGGGTTTGGGGGCTTAGGGGTTTAGGGTTTAGAGTGTAGGGTTTGGGGTTTAGGGTTCAGGGTTTAGGGTTTAGGGTTTAGGGTTTGGGGTTTGGGGTTTGGAGTTTGGGGTTTAGGGTTTAGGGTTTGGGGTTTGGGGGAGCTCTTTCCTAAGTTCCCCCATGGTCCAGGAACAAAAAGGGAATCTCTGCTGGATAATCAAGCGGGAGAAGCAGGCGGGAGGTGTGATTCTCTTGCTTTGCTTGCTTCGCTCGACCTGCTGCCTCCAGGCTAGACCGCAAACCCTAAACCCTAAACCGGACAAGGTCCAGACTGGGAGGCCGCAGGAATCCTTTTTACTTCTCTGAATCATCACCCCAAGCAACCGTAAGCCTAAACCCAAGCAAGGAACTGCCCGGGGTTCGGGAGCCCCAAAAACGACGCAACGCCCCCCCTAAGACACCGCCTTCACGCCCCTCAAAAAGATTAAAACCACCTTAGCCAGCATTCAGAACAGTAAACCTCAAAGCCTTTTTGTCCAAACCCCGTATGCTGAACTGTGCACCCTTCAGGGGGGAAGGGGGATATCAAACAACACCAAGGACATCGTCACCAAAAACCGAAAACCCGAACCCTAAACCCTGAGCCCTGATCCCTGAAACCCCAGACCCCAAACCCCAAGCTCTAAAACCCGACACCCCGAATCCCAAACCACGAAACGAAGAACGCTGAAAACCCTAAACCTGAACCCATAAACCCAAACAAACCCAAACTCCGGAACCAAACCCTGAACCCTTGACCCCATAGCCATAACCCCCACACACTGAAAAGCAAACACCGAAATCCTAAACCCTAAACCCTAAACCCTAACCCTAAACCCTAAACCCTAAACCCTAAACCCTAAACCCTAAACCTTAAACCCTGTACCCCAAGCCTAAAAACAAGAACCTCAGAGACCCCAACATCCCGTAGCTACGGGAAAGTCCTTCAATCATATTGGGATCCGTACTACTTTTTTCTTACGGTGTTTAGGGTTTGGGGTTTAGGGTTTAGGGTCTAGGGTCTAGGGTCTACGGTCTAGGGTTAGGGTTTAGGGTTTAGGGTTTAGGGTTTAGGGGTTTAGGGGTTTAGGGGTTTAGGGGTTTAGGGGTTTAGGGGTTTAGGGGTTTAGGGGTTTAGGGGTTTAGGGGTTTAGGGGTTAGGGGTAGGGGTTTAGGGGTTTAGGGGTTTAGGGGTTTAGGGGTTCAGGGTTTAGGGTTTAGGGTGAGAAACGCTTAAACCCTCAACACCAATGCCGCCAGCGGGGCCAAGGCTCTTGGCCCAAGCGACGCCCTCGAGCTCCTGGCGCCTGCGCTTCATGAAGGCTTGAAACAAGTAGGGTTTGGGGTTTGGGGTTCAGGGTTTAGGGTTAAGGGTTAAGGGCTTTTGGTCCGCCGACCCTGGCGGCGTGTTGGATGGGAAAAGGAGGTGAAACCTCCCTCTTTCCCTCCTTACCCAACCAAAACGCGGGGGGGGAGGGGGGGGGGTGGGGGGGATCGGTTTGCACAATTTTTTCGTGGAGGACCCCCCGCGCCACCCGCCCCCACAGCGTTAACCGGGGGTTCCGCACGGACAGGGGGTAGGGGCCGCCCCTCAGGCAAAAATCAGCGTTTTTTCGGACCTCCACTTTGCCCCGCCCCCCCTCCCCCCCCACCCCCCCCCCCCCCCCCCCCCCCACACCCCCCCCCCCCCCCACCCCCGCCCAACCCCCACCCCCCCCCCAACCACCCCCCCCCCAACCCCCCCCCCCCCCCCCCCCCCCAAAACCCAACCCCCCCCCAAACCCCAACCCCACACCCCCACCCACCACCCCCCTACCCCCCCACCCCCCCCCCCTCCCCCCCCCACCCCCACCCACCTGTCTTTTTGGCTTGAGCTTGTCCTGGTGCTACCCCCTACCCCCCCCAAACGATTCACAGAACTCTGCCGGGGATGATCTTCCATGCGAGCGGGTCTCAACTATGCTCCAGCGGGGTCGGCGGCTTGAGCCGGAGGCTCTTAAATTTAGGGTTTAGGGTTTAGGGTTTAGGGTTTAGGGTTTAGGGTTTAGGGTTTAGGGTCTAGGGTTTAGGGTTTAGGGTTTAGGGTTTAGGGTTTAGGGTTTAGGGTTTAGGGTTTAGGGTTTAGGGTTTAGGGTTTAGGGTTTGGGATTTAGGGTTCGGGCTAGGGTTTAGGGTTTAGGGCTTCGGGTTAGGGGATTCGGGCTTACTTGGAGGATCGGGAAACTAAGAAGGTAGCTACAAAGTCGAGCTACAAGTGCCCTAAAGGGGACCCCAGTTGGGGTCATTCTACTGTGTAGCACCCGAAAGCCCTGACACGCGAAACCCTAAACCGCAAACCTAAAGCCCAAAAAACCCTAAACCCCAAACCCGAACCCCTAACCCTAAACCTTAAGACCCTAGGCCTAGACCCTAGACCCTAAACCCTAAACCCTAAACCTGAAACCCTAAACCCTAAACCCTAAACCCCCGAAGTAGGCTCCTGAAAGGGTCCAGGCGCTTAGGCGTTCCCCACTTGAAGGTTCATGGGTATCTGTGAAGTAGGACTTAGGGTCTCAGTTTACTACGCGTAGCTTGGAGAAGTTGAGAGTGCTGCTTTACTCATAAAAAAGCTCAAGCCCTATGCCCTAGGCCCGACTTGGAGGATCGGAGGACTTAGGTAGTCATTGAGGGTGTTGAGGTGTTTTATCAAGGAAGCTGAGCCCTTGGCTTGGTTTAAGGGGTTTAGGGTTTAGGATTTAGGGTTTAGGTTTAAGGGGTTTAGGGCTTACGCCTTGAGGGTGTAAGTAGGGTTCTTGGGGCTTAGGATTTCGGGCTTAGGAAACTACTCCCTCAACCTGAGCTCTCTAGCCTCGAAACCCCTAAACCTAAACCCTAAACCCTAAACCCCTACACCCTAAACCCAGACCTCTGAACCCCAAATCCTGCACCAAAAATCTTAAGCCGCGGCACACGCGCTCGAACGTCGCCCCCTGGCGCTTGGAAACAATGGTTGCTGAAGATTGTTTGAGGGGTGCAGGGCTTCCCATCTGACCCTTTAAGGGGCAACAGAGCGAACCTAACTCCCTGATCCCTACAAACAACACCAGTACTGGGTTTTTACTAAGGAACTCAAAAGAATTTGCAGAACCGGGCTATTTATATATATATATATATATGCAGCACATAAGATAGTGCCCTCCATTTGGAAAACTAATTTACGCTCCCTAACAAGAACCCCTTAACTCCATGAACCCTAAGCCATAAAGGAACGCTATCAAGAACCGAGTAAGCTCTGAACCCCAAACCCAAAACCTTTCAGGGCTCCAGGCGATTTTTTACAGTGGGCCGGCAAGAGTCGTCTACCCGAAACCCTCAGCCTGAGCATGGCAGGAGTTAGGGTTTAGGGTTTAGGGTTTCGGGGTTCTTTGGAACCATTTCCAAGCCCGACTTCCGGCCTCGACCCGCAGCACACGGGCGGCATCGACGGCGCTGCCGGCGGCCGTGGCCTTGGCCTTGGCCTTGGCCTCCGGGGTTTGAGGGTTCGGGCTTTTGAGCTTTTAGGGTTTAGGGTTTAGCGTTTAGGGTTTAGGGTTCAGGGTAAGAGTTTCATTGGTTTAGGGTTTTAGGGTTTTACGGTTTTAGGGTTTTGGGTTTTTTGGGCTTTAGGGTTTTAGGGTTTTAGGGTTTTAGGTTTTTCTTTGAGTCTTGGGGGTTAAGGGTTTGGGGTTTTAGGGTGTTAGGGCTTTTGGGGTTTCAGTGTTTTAGGGTTTCAGGGTGTTGGGGTTTTAAACAGGGTTTTAGGGTTTTAGGGTCTAGGGTTTTAAGGATTAGGGGCTTTACGACTTTAGGGCTTCGGATTTATAGTTGGGCTGGCTCCAGGAATGTCTGAGGTTTCGATTAAGGTTGGAGGGCTGAGGGTTCAGGTTGAATGTGAGAAGGGCTTGTGAGTTTGTGGCTGAAGGGCTGAAGGATTGAAGGGTTGAAGACCCCAAACCAACCTTAAAGAATGAGCTCAACCCTAAATCATCCTAAACCCCAAGAACAAAGCCCCCGAAACCCTAAACCCTACACCCTAAACCCTAAACCCTAAACCCTAAACCCTAAATCCTGAACCCTGAGGGCTCCCATTGAAGTCTTTCCCCCTCCTGCCTCCCCCGACGCCTTGGCGGGTGGATGGGAGGGGCCTCAGGCTCATCCCGGTTCGCGGTTTAGGGTTTAGGGTTTAGGGTTTAGGGTTTAGGGTTTAGGGTTTAGGGTTTAGGGTTTAGGGTTTAGGGTTTAGGGTTTAGGGTTTAGGGTTTAGGGTTAAGGGTTTTAGGGTTTAGGGTAGGGTTTAGGGTTTAGGTTTAGGGTTTAGGGTTTTAGGGTTTAGGGTTTAGGGTTTAGGGTTTAGGGTTTAGGGTTTGGAGTTTCGGGATCTGGGCGGGGGGGGGGGGGGGTTCGGGTTTGGAGTTTCGGGTTTGGGGTTTCGAGTTTTGGGCTTCAAGTCCACACGCATTTCATGGATTCCTTCCTTGCCCAAGTCGAACAAGAACTGCTCAATGCTAGTGTCGTCGTCGCTCAGCGAAGCGGCGAAGGCAATCTCAAAACTGGCCATGTCGGCCTCTGGGCAGATGGCTTCCTTGGTGTTCACGACAAAGGGGTTCTCGTCAGCGGCTGTGGTTCTCCCTCGCTGCTCTGCTGGAGCACCCTAACCCCCAGATGGGCAAGGTCTTATTGTCCACAGTGATGAACTCCGACACGAAACGGTCGTCGCCAATGATCTGCTTTGTGCCCTCAGTTGCTCCAAGACTAGCGGGGTCTAGGGTTTAGGGCTGTGGGCCTGTAGGGCTTTGGGTTTTAGGGCTGTGGGCCTGTAGGGCTTCAGGATTTTGTGGGTTTTGGGCCTCAGGGCTTTTAGAGGGTTTAGGGTTTTAGGGCTTTTAAGTTTTCGGTTCAGGGTTTGACTAGGTTTAGGGGATGACTGTTCAGGGCGATCAGCATCTGGGTTGAGCAGTCAGGGCTTGCGGCCTAGGATTTGAGAGTCGTGCGCTAGAGGACATACGTATCTAGCTCCCATGCAAAGAAAGCAGGGACATTAACACTCACCCCCCAAACCCTCAACCCAAAACTCCACACCCCTCGACCCTAAACCCTAAACCCCAAAACCCTAAACCCTTCACCCTAAACTTCAAACCCTGAACCCTGAACCCTAAACCCTAAACCCTAAACCCTAAACCCCAAAACCCTAAACCCTAAACCCTAAACCCAGAACCTGTGAGTTGGCGTCGAACTTCGAACCCAAAAGAGGTTCGGGGTTCAGGGTGTAGGGCTTGGGGTTAGGGGTTGAGGGTTTGGGGTTTAGGGTTTAGGGTTTAGGGATTAGGGTTTAGGGTTTAGGGTTTAGGGTTTAGGGTTTGGGGTTGAGGGTTGAGGGGGAGGCCCCAAGGTAGGGCCCAGGATTGTAGATGTCCTGCTGTGTACTGCATCTTCCCAGTCACAAACACCCAGAAAACCTAACCCCAAAATCCTACGCTCAGAACCCTAAACCCTGAGAGCTCCCAGAACGCACTTGGCGCCCGAGTGGCTGCGTTTGGGCGGCATGCCCCCCAGCGCGTCCACAAAGGAATGGCTCGGGCTGTTGAGGGCTTGTTGGGGTTTAGGTTTTCGGGTTTACCCTAAACCCTAAACCCTAAACCCTAAACCCTAAACCCTAAACCCTAAACCCTAAACCCTAAACCCAACAACCTCGAGATGGCGTGGCAGGCTCTTCTTCGGCCGCTCTGCGCTCCTCAGAAGGCTCCGTGCCTCAGAGTTGATGACAGGGAACTCAGCAGCTACGCAGGTCCTTGAGGAGAACCCCAACTTAGGGCAGTTCAACCCTGAACCCTGAACCCTGAGCCCTAAACCCTAAACCCTAAACCCTAAACCCTGAACCCTAAACCCTAAACCCTAAACTGGGGTTTTCGCGGGAGCTTGAGCCCCTCATAGCAGCACCGGGCTCTCTGGATCCAACCCTCCGGGTTTCGGGTTTGGGGTTTGGGGTTTGGGTTTGGGGTTTGGGGTTTAGGGTTTAGGGTTGAGAGCTCCTTAGGGAAAAAACGGTCTTTCAAGGGCCCACAAGGAGGACCCAAAGGCCCCCCGAAGTCCAAAAGAGAATGTGCGTGATGCCCTCCTAGGGGGGTTTTAGGGTTTAGGGTTTAGGGGTTAGAGTCTAGGGTCTAGGGTCTAGGATTTACCCTGCAAACCCCAAACCCGATTCTTCCAACATGACTGCAAGCGCCCTCGAGAGGCTTATCTTGTCTGGTCTCGTAGCGGCTACGCCTTGTGTCGCTGAACCAAGGAACTGAACTAAACCCTAAGCCCCCTAAGCCCTAAGCCCTAAGCCCTAAACCCTAAACCCTAAACCCTACGAGCTCGGATTGCAGCATCCTGAAGGGAGAGGGGCCCAAGTTCCCCCAATATTCCCTGGCTAGTACACCGTCCGGCTCTCAAATCTAGCCTAAGAGCGTCACCGTGAAACGACCCCTCCCTGAATCCCTGACAGACCCCACAATAGCAGCCTTTTTGGGCACATCTTCCTCCTTCTAAGGGTTCCCTGTTGTACAAGTCTTCGAAATTCAACACCCCTGAACCCTAAACCCTAAACCCTAAACCCTAAACACTAAACCCTAAACCCTAACCGCCACATCCACCTTTTGAAGCGTCTCCTGCGTCAAAGCTCGTGGGGAGCAGGGGAGGGGGGGAGAGAGCGGTCCAAGGAAGAGGCCCCAAGCAGAAACAGTTTAGGGTTCAGGGTTTGGGGTTTGGGGTTTGGGGTTTGGGGTTTGGGGTTTGGGGTTTGGGGTTCAGGGTTCAGGGTTCAGGGTTCAGGGTTCAGGGTTCAGGGTTCAGGGTTCACGGTTCAGGGTTCAGGGGTTCAGGGGCCTAAGCCCTCAACCACCGAAGTTGAGTGGGCTCACGGTCCCCAGGGTCTCTTCGACGCTCGACCGTACCGCGCGTCAGCGCAAGAACGGCGCTTGCAAGCGGGGCCCCTGTGGCACCAAATCCTGCCGTTCTAATTAGGGATTGGGGTTTGGGTTTAGGGTTTAGGGTTTTAGGCTCTGCAAGCCTAAACCCTGTAAGGCTTTTGTAGCCCCAAACCCCAAACCCTTAGTACCCTACACCCTCACAACCCGTAGAATCCCAAGCCCTAAACCCTACAACCCTAAACCCAAAAGCCTAAACCCTAAACCCTAAACCCTAAACCTTTCGTGTAGCCCCAAAGAACCAAAGGCCCCGCTTGAAGCTGCGATCCACTCAGAGAGCCGGAGGCTTCATCTCCTCAGCCAGACCGGGGCTTTGGCGGCTTGAAGGACGTATGGGGTTTAGGGTTTTTAGGGTTGTTAGGGTTTTTAGGGGTTTTTAGGGCTTTTAGGGCTTTTAGTAGGGCTTTTAGTAGGGCTTTTAGGGCTTTTAGGTTTTCGGCCCTACATCCAAAACTCGAGAACCGAACCCCAACCCGCTCTCGCAACATCCTTTTGCCACGGCCCGTGAGGGGCCTCAGGACATCGAGGGGTGTTTTTGGGCAAAGCGACCCCAAGATCTCCCAAGTTTTTGGCCTAACAACCCTAAACCCAAAACCCTGAAACCCAAACCCTAAACAGACCCTAAACATAAAACACCCTCAGAACCCAAGCACCAAAAACCATAAACCCCTAAGCCCTAAACTTTGGGATGTTCACCGTTATACTAACAGTCCTGAATACAGATTATAGTACCCCCCCCCCCCCAATTATAATCCCCATTCAAGACTGTTAGCATAAGGGAGAACATCCAACCCAAACCCCTAATTATACCCTAAACCCACCCAAATATCCGAACTAAACCCTAAACCCTGAACCCGAAGAGCCTAACTAAACCCTAAGCCCTGGACCCTGCAACTGTCAAGGCTGGTGCACAAACAACTCAAACCCAAAACGCCTAAACCCTGGAGTCTAAAAAGACTAAACCCAAGATTTGGCACCAAGAATCTTCTCTAATGAGGCTCCATTAAGTTCCATGCAACTGAATCTCTATCTTTCCGTTGTGATTACAAACTCTGTGCGCCTGCACGCAATCATCAATCTCCCTCACTCCAATCAGCAATTCATTGCTATGCCGACTTGACGCACCGAGCCGTAGCGAAGCATAATTGCCAGCAGGGGAACTTCCTCTATGGACGAAACACCCTTGACCTAAATTGCAACCCTGAACCCTAAACACTCAACCTAGGGTTGCCAAAAACCCCTAAGCTCTCGACACGTCGACCCAAACCCTAAACTTTGCCGCCGCAGCGCGTGCCAATCGAACCACTCGCCCATCTTGAAGGCAAGACCTGAAAGTACGGTAGGGGCCCTTAATATTCAGAAGAGTGTAGTATCTTTATTATTTAGAAGAGGGTTTTTGGGGATGATTACAGTATCTTTTTGGGGGACCATAAGGACATACTATCAGTCATCATTCCGACCCTTGTCGTATTGGGTGCATGCTCAGGGTTGAAGAGTCGCAGCCATCCAATGGGGGAGAGAAGGCAGCACCTGGTGCAGCATAGGGTTTCGGGTTTAGGGTTTAGTGTTTAGGGTTGAGGGTTTAGGGTTGAGGGTTTAGGGTTTAGGGTTTAGGGTCTAGGGTCTAGGGTCTAGGGTCCAGGGTTTCAGAAGCTTGGAGCCCTACCTCCACCAACCCAACATCTCCAAAATCCCTAAACGCGGCAGAGCCCTAAACCCACAACTCGTAGACCCGCAAACCCTCAAACCCTGAACAACCCCTACGGCCCCACAATCAACCTCCTATAACCCTGAGCCCCATCGACCCTAACCCCTATAAAGCCCCTGCAAACCCCCTCCAAACCCCTATAAACCCACAACTAGCCGTAAACCCTAAACAGACCAGGATAGATAGAAATTGTACGCGACTTCACTATGAAGTTACAAGTTTCTTTGTCTAAACAAGCCGGCACCACACAAATCAACTGGAGGCCAAATGTTCAATTTAGTTAAACAAGGCCTAAACGATGTTCAATTTTGCTTACCCTAAACCCGAAACCCTAAACCCTAAACAAGGCTTCAAAGGCATGAAGAGGCCCCAAAGCACGCCCACAAAAAAAAAATACCCAAAACCCGCCCAAAGCTCCGCACCTGAACCCTATACAATGTCTATAAACCCTAAACCCTAAACCCTAACC